TGAAATAATAAAAGTGAAATAATATATATAAAAGTAAAAAATAAAAAGTAAAATAATTAAAAAGTGAAAAATAAAAAGTGAAATTTCTAAAAAATGAAAAATAAAAAGTGAAAAATAAAAAAAAGTGAAATAATAAAAAGTGAAATAATATTAAAAGATTTTGTCATTATTTGAATATTTTTGAAATATTTATATTTTTTGATTATTTTTGAATTTGCAATTTTTATGTTACTATTATAACAATATAATATTCAATATAAAAGCTCCCTTTTTTTATATATGTTACATACTTTAATATAGTTTTTAATATTTTGATATATATTTGACCAATTATAATTTTATGATATATTACTTTTATTCCAAAATATTTAATATAAATTGCTAAATATCTATTAAATAATACTTCTTTTATTTTAGTTATTTTAATCACTTTTAATAATTATTCTGAATTTTTATTATTTTGTCAGTATAGTATTTGATTTTTGATAATGTAATAAATTATTTTATTTTTGAATTTTTGTTATTCTTTTACTATTAGATTTTCTGGTAATTGTAGAATATTCAAATAATTAACAAGTTAATTATATTCAAATAAGTTCATTATATTAGTTAGATTAATTTATATTCATGTTGCTTTATAAGTAATTTATCTTGTTATTTATTTTTAAGTTGAATCCAGCTGAAAATATCAAGAGAATGGATCTATATTTGAGTGTAAGAATTTTTTATAATGTTTTATATTAAAAGTATAATCTCATAAAATCATAATCTAGCAGGCTAATTTATCAAAAAATTTAATTTATTGAATGAAGTTTTTAAAGTACTATAATCAATAATAATAATAAATAGAATATTTAATTATAAGTAAGATTTATAGTATTAAACAGCCTATATAATATCTAAATATTCTAATTCAATAATACAATAATTTTGTTCATATATACTAGTTCTTCTGCTAGTATAAGCAACTATATATTTTTTATTATTATCATTTTTTTGTGCAAGAATAGCATCTAATTCAAAATTATAAGTATTAGTATATAAAAAAAATAATTTTTCAAAATTTAGATAAGTTAAAATTAATAATAAAATCAAATATTATTTCAGTTCTTCAAAACTTTTTGATATTCTTCATTTTATGCAAAAAAATTATTCTTTTCTCATGAGCTAATATAGTAATACAATGATTTTTACAAAATTTTTAACAAAATATTGATAATAAGAAGTTAGTTCAAGAAATTCTCATAGTATTATCAAATTAGTTAATATTAGAAAGTTTCATATTAATAGAATTTTAGCAGAATTAGATTATATTCCTTCTTTTTTAATAATATATTCAAAAAGTCTTTTTAAAATGATACTTTTTAGAATATAATTTTAATTTACTTTTTCGAATTATATTAAAGACAATTCTTAAATATTATAAGTATTTTTCAAAAGTTTCTGAAAATATATTAGTGTCATTAAGATAGGTATAATTTTTATTTATTTAAATATTTAGAATAATTTGATTATTTTGTTTTTCTTTAATCATAAGAAGTAATTGATCAAAATTTTTTTAAGCAATTAATTATATTATTTTTCTTTAATATATTAAACTTGTAAAAAAATTATAATAATATAATAAATATTTAAATAATTAAATTTATTAATAAAAAATTAAATATAAGAATTAAATATTAAAAAAATAATGTGATTAGTTTTTATTATGATTAATTAAATATTAAAAAGAAAAAAATAATGGAGTTTTAATAATAATTTTAAAGTAAAATATTTATAGAAAATATATTTATAAAATAATTTTTTATAATAAATAATAAATATATATTATGATAATTATAAATAATGCAACAATATCAAAATGTATTAATTAAATATAGTAAAATATGAATTTTTCTCTTTATATAATTACTAATAAATATTTTTTATTTATATATTAAAATAAAGATAATATTACATATTTTAATATATAATTTTTAGATTTAATCTAATAAAGTTGTTTTAATTATATATAAAATTAATTATTTTTTTATATATTTTAATAAAAAATAATTAATTTTATATGTGATAAAAATAGCTTTATCAGATTAAATCTAAAAAATTATATGTTAAAATATGTAATATTGTTTTCATTTTAATATAATTTAAAAAAATAATAATATATTTTTTCATTATTTTTATAATATTATTTAATTCAAAAAATTTCGTATTTTATTAAATTTTCAATTTGTTAATATATAATTAAATCAAAAAAATTAAAAATACTATTTTTTCCTGCAAATATTTGAATAATTTTAAATATTTTTAGAAAAAAAATAATTTGTTCTTTTTTTAAAAATATCTAGATACTTATTTATTATTTTAATTTTAGAGATTTATTAATTAATTTGATAAAATTTTAATTTAATTATAGAATGTATATTCAGCTTTTTTTAAAAATTCTGATAAATTTTGAATTTTTCTGTTATAATTTGAACTATTTTTAAAATTAATATGTCTCACGAGAGTTTGATATTGTAAAGATGCTGAAAGTTCAAATTTAATCTCGAAAAATTCAATTATTAAATACAAAGTTTTTTGTTAACTATGACAGATAGTAGTGCAAACATTTTTTCAGGTCAAGGATAGCTACCCTAACGTCATATTGATACTGGGTAGTTACCTAGTTACGTCTATGACTTGAGTTATTTCATGTTCTAATGTCTGCACTTCTAATGACAGAATCATAACTTATGCTATTTTTTGATTGTTAATAAAAACTAAATTTCAGAGATCGTAAAACGAACAACAAACATCCTATTGAATATGTGTTGAAAGAATCAAATAAACAGAGAAAGATTACATTATTGAATTAAAACAACAGTGATAATTATCAACCAGGAAGTAAAGAATGATAGTTAAATCTTTTTTTATATTTAGCGACGACTTCTAATAATATTTCATGTAAATTTTTATTTTTTTTTAATAAATGTCTAAAGAAATTAATATCGGAGGTACCGAAATAGTAAATATCGTTTCTCTTTTTTGCGCTATTTCATATGTTTCATTTATTTGCTATTTGAACTTGAATATACGTAGCAATGCTCATGTAATTATATATAGGGATCAGTCAGTTTGTAGAGCGGTTTGAATTCGAAGCAGTTTTTAACCAGTCAGTTTGTTCTATATATTTTATCCAAATCAAACCGTTCGAACGGTTTGGTTAACGAACCATCCCTAAATTGTATATGTGATGAACTGCAAATACATACATACTGATAACAATAATAACAATAATATTAATACATTACATGTAGTTATCTATCCCACCATTGCAGGCGTAATTTTTCATTGGTGCATAACATCTAAACTCATCATGTACTTTATGTAATCCGCGAATATGATAAAATAGGCTTTTCTTGATTGTGTGTGCTTCTTAGCTAAAAGTCTATTGAATTTATAAAATACAATCTATACAGTTTACTAATTCGATTTAATTAAAGCTTGATAACACATCAACATCATAAGAATGAATGGCCAAATTTTCAATGTTCTGTTTCAGTGTGAGATGAATTTAACAGTTATATTTTTCTGAATTATAGGTATTAGCCAAGCTCATTATATATATATTATTTATATATAGTTTTAAAAGAAATGTATCAATGTTTTAAATTGAAATTGGAGTGATAGATATATTATAATTTGTCGGATTATAATTTTGTTTAATATGTTTATATATGTATCTTAACAAACTTACAAATTTACTTATACCGTATGTATGCATTCTTAATTTTTTCTAGTATATTATATTATTTAGAAGTTATCTAAAATGCTCATATTAATGTAAACTACAGCTGTTTTTGTGTTATTGACTTGTTTGCTATGTAAACCACCATAATGTTTTACTTTAATAATATTAATGTGAATTCAGTATCTTTACCTTTATCTCGATATTAGGATAACACACAATCTAGAACTTTTTCATTGCATGTATTAATATCGATATATTAATACATAGTTTCATGCTCATATTCATTCAGTAGAAACGACAAGGTAGATTTATCGTTATTGTTATTATTATTATCGATATATTTATTTACCAACCAACTATTGAGATCTCAATCAGATGTGCTAACCGAAATTGACCATTGTCATTATCGCTGTCATCTCTTTATCATTGCTTATTATATATATTAATAAGTCAAAGAGTACGTAGTCATCCCGCTTATATAATAATAATCTTGTATATTACCGTTACATATATTTATTACCATTTATAGAAAAAAACTACCACTATTAAGAGGAACTTATGATTGAATGAAAAAATCTTAAAATCGCTATTACTATGATTACTTTATGAACGCCAGCAGAGTTTCACTGAGGAAACGAATAGTATAGGTTATTTAGGGACTGTAACCTAAAAAAGCTTGCATAAAAAGCAATGAATTATTGAAACAAGAGAGGAGTAAATACATAAAAAGTGATGAAAATATCTCTTACGAGGAGTTTCTACTGTTTTCCTGGTCATTCTCATCTTATTAGTCGGAGCCATGTTCCCATTGTTGTTGGTGAGTGGAAGTGATGAGAGCCTTTTAATATATTCTTCTATTAAGCTCTGCAATAGGTAAATAGCAGATGTGAAGTTTATATAATTTGGCAACTGCAATTAGCAATAATGTTAAAAGTCTGTTATATTTACCTCCAAATTTTCCACTTCATACAACCCATTTTCAACCAAACACAGATCAATATTACTTCTTGACAATGCAAACTCCCCCAACAAATACATCCTATATACAGCGTCATATGAAAGATCCATAACATATATGCGAACATTATAACCTGCCAAACAGAATGTTAAGCTAATTAGATAAAAATCTAAGTATACGTTGTTTTTTCTAACTCTTCCCATAATTTTTTATTCCGCAAACTTCGTAATTTTCTCTTTATTTTCTAACCTCTCTAAATCATCTTCCCAATTTTTACTCCCTTCCCATAAATTTTTATTACAGTACATACCAAATGCATGGATTCCAAAAACTGCCATATCCAATTCAATCCGCTGTGCTTTATACATGTCATCCAGCGAATCTTTCATCAACACTCCCAGATCCACTAGATCAACATTCACCAGATAAGAGGTACTCATTGATGGCGATTTAAAAAGACCAAACATAAGTTCATAATTTCTCTTTCTTATAGTAGCTGTGAGCATGAAATTGGATTTGTGCCCCTCTCCTTTGTCATTTACTTTTCTTGAAGAGCTTACAATTGACATTTTGTTTGCCCTGTTATAGAAACAAACAAATATAATATATATTACATTATGTCAAATAAAGCAAAAATGATAGTACTAATTACCAGTCCACTGTTTGATCTAGACTATCAGGGAAAAATAGTCGAAGCAAAGGGTGTAATGAATGGTGAGCATATGTGTCCTCTATGGTTCGAGGTTTATTAAAACTTGAGCACCAGTTTTCTTCGCTAATTATGTTTGGTATATTTAAATGTCGAATTATTTAATAATCTAAAAAATACAATAATTCTAAAATACACCCACATGTGGATCCAAACGTTCCTACTAATTCTTAGCAATCTTTCGTCAGATGGACCTATGACGTTTAGATCGTAAAAAGCATCATCAATTTCTTTTTTTAAATCATGCCTGGACTGTCTTCGGGCACAGCGATAACACAGCTCTTTAACTTCTCGTGGCAAGTCATGCTTTTGATAAATAATCTTCATCTGATCAAAAACATTTGTGCGAATATCCGCTGGTATATCCAGCTCTGCACGCTTAGAATTCTCCTCCAAGAGAAGGATAGAACTTAGAGCCCTAGTTATTAATAAATCAAATACATTAATTGCTAGCACATGTATATGTTGTGCCTCAGATGTCTTTTTGCCTCAGGTGATCACTCTCGGCCAACATTAATCTATTTCATCAGCACCAACCCTAATCCCAACTCTAGTAGAACTCCTATTCTAATTTGGACTGATCGATACCTGAGGCAAATCGTCACCTGAGACACAACATATATATATATATTACATAAGAGAAAGATAATGCATCAACTAACAGAATTTCACCAGGATGCTTCGAGTAAGTCAGTTTTTTTCCCTTTGCCATGAATTCCGCATGTTCTTTGAAGCGGAAAAATGAATGACTTATATTTACTCCATCAATCATCCATTCCTATACAAAATTTTAAGATTCATTAAATCTATGTCACATAAATGTTCTAATAAAACATACATCTACAGTACATACCACTTCTGTAGGTTTTAAATCCTCGAACAAATTCCATTTCAGTTTATTTTTTCTTCCTTTAGTAGTTGATGCTGATGGTTCATTTTGCTCTTCCTCCATTTCTAAGTCATCGAACTGTAAGTATAATAATTCAGCATCATAGTGATTAAGTTCCTATTCAGTAAGAACGACCTTTGCAATTGTTTCAGCAGTATTAATTACCTTGATATCCTGTGTTTCATTGGCCTGATGAAGTGTAGATAACTCTGATCGAATTTGCTAAGTATCAAGCCCAAAATTGAGATATTTTCTTAATCAAAAATGAATTATCAAAGAGCTTAATGAATCACTTGCCTCGCTTTCCTCCCAAGTCTCTTTATTCTGCGAGTCATTGTCAATTTTCTTATTTTTTTTTAAAAAAAAAATAAATTAACAACGATCGATAAGAAGCTCAATAGCAGCACACTTGGGACAAAAAAAAATGGATGGGAAGAAAGCCACATTCACTACAGTCACCATGTGTTTAGCTTAAGCAATGGCAACAATTATAGCTACCTTCAATTCTTTCTTCAATTTATGGACTACATGAGCGATAGGTGTATGCTTATATATTTTCTTGAGATGCTTTAGTTCGTTTAATAAGGTAATATGTGAGTCTTCTCTAGTAGCTGAGCTTGGCTGTGTCTCCATCTCCATCCAGTACAAGTCCCAGTTGTTTAGATCTCCCCATATGTTAGAGTCTTGCATCCAATAATCTGAGAACAGCCAGACGTTCAGACTTGCGGCTCTAAAACAGTGATAAGTAACAGACTCACTCACCTGGATATCTCAACTTCTCCATATTGTTGAGCAGCGTTGGTGAAAGAATAAGCTTTAAACGAAAGGTTCTAAAACTGTGTGCAATCTCGATAATACGCTAAAATTGTATACAAGTCATTTAAATACTTAGGTCATTAGTCATTAATCATTTGTCATGTAATTTATTTTTTAACCAATAGAGTTTATTTTTATTAATTTTATAATGACGTCACAAAGTTTAATTTTAATTTATTGATACATAGCGATAGAAGATTGTGAGATCACTTGACTTTTTGAAATGATCAGTTAGGTCATTCGACCTTTTAAATGACCAGTCATTGGTTATTTGTCATTAGAATCATTTGAGTCATTTAGTCATTTACCATCACTGCAGTCAATGAATTATCGAATTTTTATAAGCTATAATTCGTTCTACTGAAAAAAAGTACGTCTTGAGAATCTATTGCGAGGTTCACTCATTTTTGTAAATATAAATAGATGTAAAGTATTAGCTGATATCTGGCACGTCCCTAACTATAAAGGGATTTGACCGTAAAGATTTTAAAAATTTTGATTTTTATTTAAAAAAGAGAATTTTTTTAATTCATAGTTATGAAAAGATCAAGTTTTTATTACTAATTAAACTCTTAAATTTAAATCAAAAATATATTTTGTTTCTAAATCTTTTTCTAAAATACAACAAAAATTATAAAATTTTATTCAAAGGTTTAGATATTCATTCAGTCAATTTTTCATAGTTGGAATAACATGTACATGTATTTACATGTATCTTGTATCATGTGTATTTTAAAGCAATCTGAATTTTTTAATGTATTAGGAACAATAAAGCATTATGCTTATATTTTAGAAAGGTTTATTGACCTCGTTTATAATTCGCTTTGAATCATTCTCTAATCTTTCAAAATAGATCCATTTCAAAACTGGTTGTTCTTTAAGCTTCGTACATTCTTTTATTAGACTGTCGATATCTTTATTTTCGTCAAGTTTCGCTAAGCAAATCAGCTTTATAAATTCGTTCGTGATATGGAAAAGATCCATAGCAGTATTCATTTTTTTAACAGTCATAATATTTACTACAATCATATCTGAACACTGTAGTAAACATTTTGACAATATCAGCATTTACTACAATCGTGATTATTATGAACTGAACACATTTTGCAGTAGTAATAATTTCCTCCATTACGCGATCGTGTTACCAATCTTTCTTTCGTGCTCTCAACTTCTTTCGTTACCAATCTTTCTTTTATTACGCGGCCGTGTTCCAAACTTCTTTTTTTTTGTTACCAATCTTACGTGGTCGTGCACTGGTTTCATTTGTTGCGCGATGTTAGTCTTATTTCAGCAAATGTTTATAATAATTGTAAAATTTATCAAGTACAATAGCAAAAAAAATAATGCATTATATGTTGATTCGCACCGAATTTAGCTTTCGTTTGACAATATCGCCCATTGCCGGTCGAGCGCTACGAACTATCTCGCTTTCCAAATTAAGATCGATTTGTGGCTTATATCAGGAGTAAAACCCAAATTAGGCAATTTGAAATTTAGTTCGAGAAAAGTGGTCCATCCTCCCAACCAATTTCCTTTGTACAATACGCCTTATTCTGCGCCGCCCCCTGGAATCAACACCCGCAACGTAGTCAACCGCTTCGCTCTCGAACTCAACATACCCTTGAAAATGCGGGGTCAGCCCACCCCCCCGAAGAAAAGGGTGCAAGGAATGGTGCACATGTGTATCCTCTATGGTTCGAGGCTTATCAAAACTTGTGCACCAGTTTTCTTCGCTAATTATGTTGGTATATTTAAATGTCAAATTTTTAATAATCTAAAAAATACACCTATATACTAGTTCTTAGCATCTTTTCGTCGGATTGACTTAGATCTACGTTTAGGTCGTAAAAAGCATATATATACTTTCTTTTTCCTGGACAGTTTTTGGATAACTCGGGCACATTCATTTGAACAAAAATCTTTGTGTGAATGTCTGCTGGTATATCAAACTTTCCATGATTGGAATTCTCCTCCAAGAGAAGTATAAAATTTAGAGTCCTAATTAATAAATCAAAAACATTAATTGCTAGCACATGTATATATCACATAAAGAAATATAATGCATCAACTAACACAATTTCACTAATGGATTCCGCATGTTCTTTAAAGCGGAAAAATGAATGACTTATGTTTTTTCCATCAATCATCCATTCCTATACAAAATTTTAAGATTCGTTAAATTTATGTCACATAGATGTTCTAATAAAGCATGCATGCACCGAGTTTGTTGATCTAAACGCAAAAATATTCACCTTAATGTTAATTATAGGACTATAGACCGCTAAGATCTGATCATGTGTTCCAGAGATATGGGCGTTCAACGATGCCATACAGACCCGGTGCGAGACCAAACCGGAAACCAGTCGAAATTTTCGACGGCACCAACGAAATGAAAAAACTAAACGCCCACTAATGAAAAGAAACACCAAATACTCGCACTCAAGGAAACTCAGTACGAAACCAAACTGGTTGTTAGTGGTGAGACATTTGTTTATTTTTGATTTGATAGTGATGGTGTTACGCAGAATCAGCCAATCATTGAATGTGTAATAAATCAATCCAGATAATCATGATACGTATAGTGTTTCCCTCAAAAATGTATTTGTTTCTAAAATACAACAAAAATTATCGTTATATATATATATATATTTTATTTAATAAATAGAGATCCGAATCGGTGAGACTATCCGATTTAATCGGATAACTAAATTAATAGCAATAAAATTACAAGAATAATCCGAATGATCCGAATTATTCAAATCACGTTTTCAAGATATTAAATTTTTACAAATTATTACTATGAAGGTAAATTATATTACAATTCTTTTAACGTTAAAAAATTTATTAATTCCCCGACTAATAATTAAACTGCTTCAACTAATTCTTTTTTTCTTTTAGAAATTACGATCACTGTAAAGATAGTCGGTAATATATTACGATAAATGCTGAAAAAACACCGCTAAATTCGCATTTTTTCTGACAAAAAAGAAAATTGATATCGATATGTGCAACTTTTTTTACATATTAATATCGATATTGATATGCGCATGCACTTAACCATTATTAGCGTTAGTTATTATTTAGTATTTGTATTAGATCATCATTCAACTGATTACGTATTTATATCGATATCAATATTGTTAAAATAGTGGATTTTATTTAATGAATAAATGATTTGAAAATTTATTCTTCTGGAGGAAAAATCTCAAGTTTCATATTTCTTATTAAGAATATCCTATTATGAAGATTTGGATCTAAAAGTATTGAATGTTAATGTCAATAATAGAAATTTGTGGAAAAATAAATGAATGATCCGATATTTAAATGATTGAATAGTGTCGGGTTACCCATCCGAATTGATCGGTCATGCAAATTCGCATTAAATCGATTTTGAATCGAATGATTCGAACTTCTATAGGAGAATCCATCAAATTTTGAATAAATTGGATAATTCTTTAAAATAAAAGACATCGATAATGGTCTTTAGTTTTGTTTTAATATTGATAATAACCAAGAAAACTATATAGAGTTTACTAACTGATAGTGATATAATGCCAAAAGTAACTGCTATTGATCAAAATTTGAATTATGAAACAACAGAAAATAAATGTGATGAAACGGATAAAGAATCACAATACTTCAGTTGCCTATACCGATACATGTACATGTACATGTAGTATCGGTATCTAATACACGTACGTAGTTTCTCACGTGATAATCATGATCGTGATTTTCCAATTACGTATGCATTATGCATTATTGTTATTATCGTTACCGTTATTAATCGATTCTAGTCCTATTACATGTACTACCGCTACGCACATGTACATGTAACGGTAACAATAACGACAGTTTTCAACGGACATTCGATAATATACAATGAAAATCAAAGACAACGATGAGTTTGATGATTTAAATCTCCACGAAGGATTATCAATAATCATTCGACGAATGTTCTCGTCCAAATATCAAGAATTCCAAGATATAGCTTTATCAATTTCATTTTGGATAATTGGTTGGTATTTGAAATTAGCTGCTCAAATACAGTACATTTTTGGTTTCTGTTATCAAAATGGAATCGGAACACAAAAAGATGAGAAAAAAGCATTTGAATATTATTTGAAATCAGCAGAGGGTGGTGATGCTGATGGACAACGTAATCTTGGTTTTTGTTATCAAAATGGAATCGGAACACAAAAAGATGAGAAAAAAGCATTTGAGTGGTATTTGAAATCAGCAGAAGGTGGAGATGTTGATGGACAATGTGATCTTGGTTGGTGTTACTTAAATGGAATCGGAACACAAAAAGATGAGAAAAAAGCGTTTGAGTGGTATTTGAAATCAGCAGAAGGTGGAAACGCACCAGGACAATATGAGCTTGGTTTTTGTTACCGACATGGAATTGGAACACAAAAGGATAAGAAAAAAGCATTTGAGTGGTATTTGAAATCAGCAGAAGGTGGAAACGCAACAGGACAATTTAATCTCGGTATATGTTACGAAGAAGGAATCAGTGTTTCTAAAGATATCAGGAAAGCTAAAAAATGGTATGAAACTGCAGTTGAAAATGGTAGTATTGATGCAAAAAAACGAATTGATGCAATTCCTAGATATAAATTAATACTTTCCGCTCTTTTTTAGATTTTTATTATTTTGTAACTTCCTTTTAGATACTGTCTTTTCTATTTTCGTAATGAAATCGTTTTATTTTGCTTATTCAATATGCTATTTAAATTAACTCATCTATGAATCTATTTTATTTTGAACTAAATAATTTAAAGAGGCAAATTCCAAAAGAACAAGCATTAAAATATGAATTCAAAATTTTTTATCCCTGTAGATAAGAAATGGAGATAGAAAATTTAGAGCAATTTTTAACTTATGTCTGTTAAATTTAATTGGAATTAAACGAAAATTTGTGGGCATATACACAATTACATTCCGAACGACTCTACTTAGACAAGTGTCTTAGTAAAAATAAAAGTTATTAACGAAAAACTATTTTACGATTTTCGGATCAAACCCGATCCGAATCCGACCCGACCCGAAATTATCGGTTCGGGTTGACCTCAAATTCGATCCGATCCGATTCGAACAGTGCTTTAATCTGATATTTACAGTCAAATCTCGATATACCAATGCTTAAGGCTAATTAAAATCTCAATCCAAAAAAACTTCTAATAAAATTTCCCTTATTATAGCGATTTTTATAAACGTGATTAAGAATTTATATTTTATAATATATTGAACTCTCTAAGTGCAACCTTCATAAGTGCAACTTTTCTCTAAAGCACAGTTGCACCTCAGTTCCATGAAGGAACTAATAAATAAGTGCACGTTATTTCTCGGTCTATTTATCAGTACGTATGTGTTTGTATTTATGCATGAAAATTGACACAGGAATACATATACTAAGTACACCCACAACATGCATTAAATGATGGGATAAAAGTGACAGAACTCATAAAAAAGAAGACTCATATAACTTCTAGGAGAATTTACATACATGTATAAAGTTCCAAAAATAAAAATAATTATGAATAAGGGCTCAAAATAAAAATAATTACATTTAAGGGCCGAGACTTGGAAAATATTATATTTAAGAGTCAAAATCTATATAGTACGAGTACTTGAAAGATATCCATAATTATTAAGGATCTTGCGTATAATCTCAAACTGCAAAACTTCATAGTTTGATGGATTTGAATAAAAATTACGAAATTACAAATTTTTATAGATTTATACTTTTACATTAAAGAATAGCAATTTAGACAAACAATTCAAGTTACATGCAACAATAAATGCCTCAGTCACCAGGGTTCAGTTTCTCTTTATATATAATATTGGTCCCCTCATGCTAATTCATCTTAAAAAAAATTAATTAGTAAAATTTATAGAAAAAAACTAGTTAGTAATAACTAATAAATTGAGCAAAAATTCTGATATTGACACTTAGTGCAACAGGGTTAATATAAGCATCAGGAAATTTTTTAAAGGGTTAAATAACCCCAGGATAAATATTGATAATAATCAAACTCGTCATTGTATATTGATAGGCTGAAAAGGTTAATTATTAATATTTATTACGGATTAATAATCATCGATAATTAATCTTTTTGACCTATCAATGTTTTATTATATTGATTGAGTGATTACACATTTAATATTATCATTTTCAATATTTTTGATAGCTATCTAATCATAATTATTTTTGATAACTATTAATAATATATAGGCACAACCAATAGCTAGCAATTTTATTAAATAATCTATAGATGTAATAGTATAAAATTTTACATATTCTAATAAGTAAAGCACACAGCCCGTCAAAATCTATTTTTGAAAACTTAATTGGATTAGAAAACAAAAAAGCACCTTGCTTACATTTTAGAAATTATTCATTTTACGTTTGTAAACTCAAATCACATAATGATTCCACTTGTAATCATACAACGAATTGTTTCAAAACCTCATTTTGCAAGTTATTCACAGCATTGGTAATTTTTTAAAAGGAATCCATTTGAAATGCTTCTAGGTCTTTTATTAGACTACTGATATTTTTATTTTCGCTAGATCATTCAGCTTTACAAATTAGTTATGATATTTAAAACATCCACAGCAGCATTTAGTTTCTTGACAGTCGGTGGTGCATTTAATACAACCATGAGTATTAAAGCGCATGTAAAAATTTCACATATACATATACATGAAATGTATAACAGATTTTTTAAAAGTGAGCAGTCCAACACCCAATAATTTTTATTTGTTTGTTTCTGTTAACTAAATTTACATCACTTTCGTAAGCAAGGAACAAAATGCACCCGCTTCTTGACTGCTTTGACGCTTTGAAATACTGTGGTAAGACAAACTTTGTTATGACAATACTTATAGTGTAGCCTTTTGGGAGAGCACAGACAAGTCTTTACTCAAGAAATTCTTGAATTCACGATTCCCACTCCAGCGATCTGAAAGACGAACATATAGCATAATTATTACAACAAACAATCACAAGTAAGTAGTCTTTCCTTTGCAAGTAGGCAGTTCAAAAAGTAGTCCGTTCAACATGGTGCAGTTAGCAACAAGCAAGCAGCCTGCATGATGAGACACAGAGCAGCTCAGATCAATAAAATGAATACACCACCACGGAATCTTGTTTTGATTTTAACACGTTCGTCATAGTGTTTACTGATAGCATTCATAACTTTGTGAACAATCTACTTTACAAAGGAAAGGCTACTTGCTTGTCTGTGATCATTGCTTAGTGAACTACTTTGCTTACAAAGGAAAGGCTTAGCATTTTTGGGCACTTCTGCCTTAACCTTAAGTTCTGCCATCTTCTTGTCACAAAATGACAGTAACTAGATAATTCACACATACAACAATTATCAAGCAATTAATTTCGTTGATTTTAATGACAAAGAAAAACTTTGTATATGGTGTCGGTAGACAATTACATTAATTTGTATAATAGTGTGAGTGTAGATATGATGCTAATTAATAACGTTTGACTTTACTTTTTTGCTGTATTAAATAAACTACTTATCTCTTTAATCGAATATTGTTGTAAGGAAACTTTATATAGATATACAGCAATATCAATGGAATGAAAGGAAATAATAAATCACTTTTCTTCAGTAATAACATTCACTTGCAACCATATCGATATCGATATTACGTGTTTCAACCAAAAGAGACAGTATCGGTATGTATTATTGATTTGCTGACTTTGATAATTTATCAGTCACCGAAAATAAATATATCGATATCATATTTTAGAGTTCATTAAATATTATGGAGATTTATCCTACGCTACTCATATTGAATTGTTCTAACACTTTTTTCTTTTGTATCTCTTATGTACATATTTGTTTCAATAAGTCTATGATATCCGCAGTAGATAATAAATAATCCATTTATTAAAATGAAATGTTGAAGCTAAATAATCTAAATTATGATTTTATTTAGAGTCGTGTCTATGTTGAGAAAGAAAGACCATTAGTATCGTTTGATCCAACAGAGATGGTATTTTCTTCAACATAATAAAGTTTGATTATACGATTTTAAGAAATTTTGATAGGAGATATTTAAAATTCTTATTTTCTGCACATGCACCTATATACAAAATATTTTATTCACAATTAACAGGTGGATAAGGTCATGAGTAAATTAAAATAATTCAGATCTCGAAAAATAAATGTCTCCTATTCCTATACATTTCATCAGCATCAGGGCGTATTATAATTGATCCTTATCTCCTTATCGTGATACGTACGTAGTTGATGAGTTTAGATGTAGCGATAGCGATAGTGTAATAGTAACAATAAGCGAAAATCATTTTACTCAATGGTATGATGAAAGGAATCAAATAAAGATAACGATAATGGAAATAATACCTTAATTTGGTGAGGAAATCATTTTATTATCAAAACTTTACTGATGAGCGAACTTTTTCTAACAGGTTAGTATATACAATAACGTGATCGGGGGAAGAGATTTGGTGTTATTATAACGAAATGTTACTCTAACAGAAAAATAAATATTATGAAAGCTTATTACAATGTTATCTTAAAGAGTGTTTACTGTAATGAACGTTCACTGTAGTCACTTGGGGGAATTATAACGGGCGGGAAACTAACACTACTTCTATGTTTAAATTTTTAAGATTTTGTGTCGATATCGATGTTGTGTTCAATTACTGTCCATCTTTAATCACGAGGCTTTTCCTCGATATCGTACACGAACCGTAATTTGCTACATAAACCGCCGCCCCCCCCCCCTAGAAAATTTAAATCTTAATTTGATCTAATTTTTATTAGTAAAACCAATTATTTTTCCGTAAAATAAATAAATTAAGATTCACGGTGCAATTTCTTAAAAATTTTAATTACTAAATCAACAGTCTTATAGTTAATTAAGGTTTAAATTTTTTAGAGGGGGTGATATTCACAATTAATAACGAAATAATCACTTTTTCTAGTTCATAGTGCAAACCCTCTTTACAACAAGCAATTTATTAACGAGTTGAATTATAGATGGCTCTATAAAAGCTATTGTACACAAGAAATTATATTATTATTTGTTCTAATCTATTTATACATTTTTTAAAATTCATTATTATTGTTTAATCTGCTGCACAAATTATAGATTAAATTACTGCAGTGTAAATTTAAGTGTAAATCCATTGTCGTTATTGTTGTCACTTGCTTCTATCACTATGAATTATTAATATCATTTTTATATAACGTGCTTTTATTACAAATGTTATATGTTTAGTATATTTAAACAACAAATGTTTCAGACACAAATTTTTCTTATAAAAAGAAATGCTGACTCTCCCTCAAATCTTCATTCGAAGTAACAAACAAAAATTCGAAAATCAACAAACAACTCGAATAAAAACATAAAATGACTGCATTCAAACAACTTTTCGTGGCCGCTTTGACTCTAACAATCTTCGCTTCATCTGACGCATCCCCAATTTTCGATGTTAACGCAATCCAAGCCGGAAACAAGTGCAGCATAAAACAAACCGCCTACGGAGGCCCTGCCTACAGCACCGCCATAGGTGGCACCGGCGTCTATAACACCGGCTTCAACTTTGGAAACGGCTGGGGTGGTGATGCCTTTAGTAAGGCCCGGGGTGGTGACGCCAAAAACGAAGCTCAATGTTGCTTTGTCAATGGAAATTGGGTTTGGATTATTGGGTCCAAGTGTGATAACTGAAAGAAAAATAGATAGTAGCTTTATGATGTGAACATACATTTCTATATATGTATACTGAATATGGCAGCATCGAGAGTTTATTCAATTGCTATTACATAAATTTGAAATAAATAACATATCTTGATTGGTTTGAAAGTGAAGTTGATTTTTTTATCATGCTAAAGTGAGTAAAATTACACTGATGCCAAAGACTCTGTATTACCTTGCTCTAATTTATTTCTTCGTAGAACTTAATCACTGATTGTTTGTCCTAATTTATTTACGTAACCAAAATTCAGCCTAAAGATGGTTATTTAAATTGCTTTTAGGCTCGACTATTCTCTTTCAAATCTTAATTTATTTCTTGTTATTCCCCGTTCATTAACACGTTTATATAGCTATATATCTGAAACACTTGTGGCTTGAATATACACTTTCAAAAAAGTACATTATAGAGAAATGATACTAAGAATCAAATACGTACCAGAAATGCTGATCAAGAAAAAAATAGGCAAACACAATTATGTAAGACACTACGACAATGAAATACCATCACTATGTGCAGTAGAGGACATAAGTAACCAGATCGCCAAAAAATAATATTTTTTTATTTTGCAGTACGTTATTGACCCTAATTCTACTATATAGTATAGCCTCTGTCGGCCTCCACTAAGGATAAAACGCGTCGTTCCATACTTTGAACCAAATTTCTGGCGAATTCATTCGAAAGTCTTCGCCATTAATGCCGCCTTGAAACATAAAGCGTTCGTATTTTTTTCCAATATTGATTTTCATAGTTCGTCAAATGTTTTCAGTAGGATTTGATCCGGAGACATTGCTGGCCAGGCAAGTTCCTTAATACCGTTCTCAGCCTTCCATTTTTTCGCGATTTTTGACCGATGCCTAAGTTATTCGTCCCAAAAAGTTTTCTGGGGGAAGGTAAAAGGATATTGCACACGAATTTGGCGTCAAGGTGCCGAATCCTGAAGCCCCATACGTTCAACTTGAGCGGATGCTTCACAGTACGAAATACTATTCTTTTCCCAGGTAACTTCCACTTTTCGCGTTGGCTGCTTCGAACGAAAGGTAGACTCATCTGTAAAAACAACCTTTTCTCACTCGAAATACATATGCTTTTTAGCCGCTTGGCCCGATGATTGTCGTAAGAAGTGATTTGAGAATGAGATTGCAGTAGATTCCTCCAGCCTCACAGAGACGCCGTCTAATGGTTCGTATATTAATATTTACGCCTTCCTTTGCAATTTCTTGTTGAATATCGATTTTGCTCTGAACAAGCTTTATCATTTTCTTGCCTAATGGCCGTATTACGTTTTCAACCCATTTTTGGTATATCATGTAAATCCTTAGTTTCCTTCCGTTTGACAATCTTTCATAAGCCTTGGTCCTTGAGAATGGTGGTGTAAAAACGCAATTTCGTAGCGTTTGTGAACATGGTGATGCAATGCCATAAAAGGCGTAATTATATCATAGCGGGTTTAAATCTGATTGGTTGATCTTCAAAATGTATCGTCGCATATTTAATCATCTAACATTAAATGGATTCGCAACAGAGACGAATTCGCAGACAATAAAATATTTTCGGCTTATCGTAAAACGCTCTGTTCCCCCCCCCACTCCTTTGTAAAGTACTTTCCGGTTATGCACGAATATTTTTATGTTGCGTATTTTTATTTATATATTTGTATCACTTAATTAACAATGATGAGAAAAGACACTATCATCTATGTACGTATTAGCGTTAGAAATAACAATCTCAACATTTAAATAAATGTTTGAATCAAGAGACTCATGTAATTTTTACAAATAATGAATCTCTTCTAATTAAACAAAAGAACCGAATAATTTAATTATATTCTATTAACAATGACGAGAAAGAAACTATCATCTATGAATTAGCGTTAGAAATAAAAATCATTTAGATAAACGTTTAATCAAATTTGAATCAAGAAACTCATGTAATTTTTACAAATAATGAATCTCTTCTAATTCAACAAAAGAACTGAATAATTTAATTATTTAAAAGTCTTATTATGTATGCAATATTCTTAAAAATTCTTATCATTATGTTCTGGTTTTATCGTTATTGTTTTGCAAAGTATTAAATTAATCTCTACGTATAAGTATATTCACAAGAAAATTTAGTTATTTATATCTGAAGAAATATAAAAATACTTGACATTTTTCGATGAATATATTTATTTGAAAGTGTTGTAATCAGGAATAGGAGTGCTTTAAAAGCACGTATAACAAAAAAATTACGAAGAACCTGGTGTACTCAAGAAAAATTAAAGATTGTTATGTATTATGTAAAAAATAAAAATGAAACTTCTATTCATGAAACAAGTAAAAAAATTTAATATCCAGCCCAAGCAATTACAGGAATGGATAAATAAAAAAATAACCTAATTAAAACATCACCAAAGACTTTTAAATTACATAAAGGAAAATCACCCAAGCATCCACAATTCGAAGCCTTCTTATCTGATTGTATTAATAAACAACGACAATTACAAAAGCTTGTTACTAGAACGACATTTTCACTTGCTCGGAGTACTGATTTTCAAAATCTATCAGATATATCGAATAGATGACTTGATGTTCAATATAATTTGTCAAACTGACGTCATACAACTATTGCACAACATTACCTGAGAATTTAGAAGAAAAAAACAAAGTTTTCTTACTTTTATTTGAAATCAACGTATTCAATATAATTACCCTTTATCTTCAATTGGAGACTCCTTTTGATTTACCAAATCCAACAACAATCGACAAACGTGACGCCCGCATGATTAGCCTTCGAACTATGGGTAATGAAAGAAAAAATTTCACTGTTGTTCTTGGATGCATGGCCGATGGGACAAAATTACCTCCAGTTTACATTTTTAAACTAAAAAATATCTCAAGAAAGCTTTCCTAATAATGTATTTATTCGTGTAAATGAAAATGGTTGGGTTAATGAAGAAGAAATGCTTTGGTATATTGTAAATATTTGGACTAAAAGACTACCTTTAAGTAATCCACATTCCCTTTAGTTTTTGATTCCTTTCGTGCACATTTAGTTGATTCAGTTAAACATAAACTTATTGAAACAATACAAATCTTGATGTAATTACTGGAGGACTAACATCTAAACTACAACCATTAAAGGTTGCTATTAACAAAAGTTTTAAGATGAAGGTATATAAATTTTAATTATTATATTTTGTTTGTTTGTCATTACGTATATACATATTTAAAAAGTAATTTAAAGGTCCGTGCACTTTATAATCAATGGATGTCAAAAGTAATTCATGAGCTTACATCTTCAAATCGTGTTAAAAAAAACCCTCATATTCATTATTCGCTAAATGGGTAGAAATTACGTGGTGTCTCTTGAGCCAAATTTAATTAAACGTTCATTTAAATGTTGTGGGGTATCTGACGAACTTGTTATTTCTAACGCTAAGACGTAGATGATAGTTTCTTTTCTCGTCATTGTCAATTTAAGTGATACAAATCTATAAATAAAAATACTCATCATAAAAATATCCGTGCATAAACCGTAAAGTATTTTACAAGGGGAGGGTACTATACAAAGCGTTTTACGATAATTCCGCATTTTGGTGCTAGGTGAGATCGGGAATCCAGTTCCAGTCTATTATTTTATTATTTGTTTTCTATTTGAGCGTAGAAAAGAAAATACAAGAGAAAATTTACAAGATTAGTGATTATAAGAAAAATCAATGTAGCAGTAAAAAGAAAAGATCTAAAAAAAGAAAAGTAATAACAAAAGATTGATTATGAGAAAAATTAACAAAGAAAATAGAAATGAAAATGTTAACGAAAATAAAAATGAAAATGAGGGATAAAATAAATATGAATGTGATTGGGTAAATATAATGAAATAAGAATTAAAAATGTTTTTGTTGGGAATAAAATATAAGATGCACCAATAGCAAAAATATTAATTTTTGAGTGGAAAGTACAAGAGAAAATGAAAATAAAGTAGAAAATATACAAGAATATTATTTGTTGATGATTATTTTAATTTAGATAAAAAGGAATGATATATGAAGTGAAAATAAAAGAGAAAATTAATATGATTATTATTGGCTTAAATTATAATACACTGTTACCAAAGTGTGACAAATTTCATTGATCTCGTAATTTCTGAAGGAGTCCATTCGTCCTGATCCCAACAAGTCATTTTAATTATCTGAGCTCCTTAGTGTAATGTCCCATTCTTCCTATTTTAAATTGACTCCTGTTTTCCTCTTTCCAAAAAAGGTAATTCGTTTATGAAATTCACTTTTCATCTACACGTTTTTCGCTTTTGATTGTTTCCCCATTTTTCACTTTTGATTGTTTCACCATTTTTCGCTTTCATTTGACTTTTTTTTGTGTTTACATTTTTTGCTTTCATATTTGATTGACAGCTCATTTTTCATTACTCATTTTATCCTTTTCATTCATCTTTCACTTTCGTTATCACCTGTTGATTGTTATTGACTGATCTTTAGATCAGAATTTTCACGTTTTTCACTTTTGACTTTGCCACCAATTTTCCACTTTTGACTTTGCCACCAATTTTCCACTTTTATTTGAATTCGTTTTTCATTTCTCATTATTTCATTTCGCTTTTACTCCCACACCTGATTATAATCATGATTTCGTTTTGATTGATTTTACTTTATTTTCTTTTTCTTAAAAAAGTTCTCTCTCTTCAATAGTATGCATAGTAATAGAATCTAGAGCAATACTCTTACTCTACAATATAAAAATAAAAATGTATATATGGTCCTCACAGACGTCAATAAAAATGCAGAATTAATTGCGTACAATTCTTCTCCAAGTAACGTAACTCTTGTAAAAATGAAATAATTGTGTACAATTCTTTCATCCCATAGTATAGTTTTGTTAAAAGATTGAAACGATTAACGGTTAGGTCCTTTGATCCAAAAAAGGCATTTTTATTGATTAAACGGCATATTGATCGATAATAAAACGCATTGTGTAGA